GGTACTCTAGGTACTCTCGAGCCCCTAACTCACTACCAATGTACTCTCTCTAGTTACAAAGGACTTCACAGCGTAAGCTAAACCACACACGGATACAACATGTGCATTCATAGCCTTCCAATCAAAGGTATAGTTAGGAGTTCGGTCAAGGAATGAGGTGAGGCCTGTAAATGCTTCCCACTTTTATATCATGTACACATCAGTGAACTGCATTTACCACTCTCATTTTCCCTAGATTTTCACAATCAACTCTAAACCCTATATCCAAAGTGTATCCCTAAACTATCCATACCATATCTTAACCGTGGCACATCACTTTATACTATTCTAACACCTTATACTATTCTAATACATATGTTGCAACTACATGAATTGATGTATTACAACATATATGTTATAATCTCATTCGTCGATGTATTACAACACATATATCATAATTGTACCAATCGTTGTATTTGTAACACATGTACTAGTGTTCTTATTTCTTTTCTCTACACATACCCATCACTTTTCATATCACACAGTTTTTCCAAAGATCATATTCATGCACCTCTATTCACTGTTATAATTTTTATCCCTTTTTCTCATCATTAAATTCATCAAAACATATTCAGTAATTCACATACTTATACATCTCTTCTTCCTAGTATCTACTAAACTTCATTAAATTCAGACAATCATCATATTCTTTTATTTTAGTACATAACCTCAAACAATAATGCATCATCATACAATTCAGCACAATTATCTTATTTTATCACTTCATCACATATTTATCAGACCATAACACATTAGCACACAATATGCCGATGGTTGAACACCTTCGGACTCATCCCAAATTGTGCAGTTTCATAATCATTCACCAGATGTCATATTTCCTCAGCCTCAATAGAGTCTTCTAACCTAGAACTCAGTATTCTCTGTCTTTTATTACTTAACTCCTATACATCCCAATTAATTTAATCCTAAAACTTCTTCATGTTGTTCTAGCCCATAACTTTTGCTAAGAATCTAATTCTAGTTATTTCAAATAAACCTGAAACCTTTTTTTATACCAAAAAATCACTTACCATATGGTTTCATAAAAATTTATAAATTATTACTAAAATAGATTACTCAGATTCTCCTGGGGTCACTATATATAGAAATAAAGCTAAGGCTTGAGAACACTCCCCTTACTTGGAAATGAGTCTAAGAACTAAATTCTTCGTTAGCTCTAGGAAGAAACTCCACATCTCAACCGGTAAAACTTCTCAAGAACTAGAATTCTTTCTAATGCCACAGAATAGATTACTATCAGAAGGAGAAAGAACAGAGAAATAGAAACTAGATTCGAATGTTGGGCTCCAGAAACTTACTCATATCTAAGAAGAACGGACGTTGGAGCTCAGATCCAATAGAGATTCAGAAGTATTGAGGGCTTTCTCTAGGATGGGAGATGGAGAGAACAAAGAGATCAGAGAAAAAGAAGTGGCTTTTGGTGAGAAATGAAATTTCTCAACGCAGAAGTCCTTAAATACCCTTCAAACCCACGCGATCTCACTTGAGCGAGCACATCCTTGCTTGAATGAGCTAATCAGAGAATGGTTTTATGATATCCTTACTCAAGCGAGAGGTATTATCGATTGAGTGAGGACGGGTCCTGAGAGTTCCAGATTTTTCTGCGACATCTCGCCTGAGCGAGCCCTATCTCGCTTGGGCGAGCTCCCTTCTTGCTTGAGCGAGAGGATAGTTGAGGCAACTCTATCCTTTCTCGCTTGAGCGAGACACATCTCGCCTGAGTGAGAAGTCCTGCACGACAACTCCTATTTTACTCAAAAATAAGGGAATAAAAATGAGGGTATTACAAACTTGATCGCCAAATGCATGGAAATATGTATATACTTTTCTAGGCCATGATTAGCATGGGAGACTAAGCCATTGAAACATTGAGCGAATCACGGGCCCTGAATTGGTAACTAATGTGGGTGACTATGATGAAAACAAAGACTTATCCCCAGAGGAAATAGCAGAGATTGATAGGTGGTTTGGAGAAAATGACTAGTATTATCTTCGGTCCTTTGGTAGATAGACTGCTCATTAGGACTTGTTATATTTTTTTGTATTTTGTAAATATTGTAAATGAGTTCTAATATATTTTGAAGTTATATTTTGCAAATGTTAATCCTTTGTAAATTAATGAGAACAATATACATTAATGTTATTTCAACTTTCTACTTAAATTTATTTATTTCCTATTGCTTTATCATTTAAATTTTTATAAGTATGAGTAAATTGGATAAAAGTTATATAATTATGCACTTTATTTTTAGTGTGTAAATGAATTTAATTTAATTCCCATTCTCAACTAAATTTTTTTTCCCTTACTGAATTAAATAATCAAAGACGTTACACCTCTTTAAATTTTGACAAAACTTTTCTTGTTTGTTTTTTTTTTTCTCCTTTTATCAATTCCTTCAAACTTCAAAAAAAAAAAATTTGGTAACAACAATAATCATTTTAATTGATAAATTTTGCACTACAAAGGTATGTGTGTGTATAAAGATAGAATAAGAGAAATTAAACTTTTCATATACACAATTGCTTTTTTAAGATAAATGGTTAAATCTAATGAACCCAAATTCATGTTACATAAAGATATTTGAATAAGAGATTTAAAGTGACTAAAACTTTCAAGATAAGGAATGTTTTATTATATTTTTGTCAAAAAAAGAAAAGGAAGAGAGAGAAAAAAGGAAAAGAAAATAAAAGATTTTTGTTGGAGTTTGAAGATGGGGAAAATGTGTGAATGGTGGTAAGAAGAAGAAGAAAAAAAGGAAGAAAAATGGATCAAGAGACGTGAATGATGGATAAGATAAGGAAGAGAAGTGAGGAGAAAAAGAAGCAACCAAAAAAAATAGTTTGAATATACTATATTTTTGTTGGAGCTCACAGAGAGAAAAAAAACATAAAATAATTTTTTAACAAAAATAAATACTTATTTAAAATACTTTTATAAGTTAAAGAACCGAAATGAAAAAAATATATTAGATAATCAGACAAAAATTTAATGATTCAATCTACTAATTTATTCTAAAATATTATCAAATAAAAATTAAATAAAAAATTAGGATACATTCAGATATAAAAATAAAAATAAAAACTTTCATTGAAAATAAGTGAATAAAAGACTATTGTTACAATTTTTTTAATGTAGAATAAAGTTTTCATTTTGTGTCAAATATATAATTTTGTCCTTTGTAGTTATAAAATATATATTCTCCCACGATGTGCTACAAAAGGCAAAACTGTAAGTTCCAATCAAATGATCGAAATTGATTAGTTAATATGATAATTAACCATATTTTGAAAAAAGAATGATTTATCTAATTACTTATCAATCTCTATATGAAAAAGGTTTAATGAAATATTTCGTTTCTATATTCCATAAATGCTGTTTTGGAGTTTTATAAAATTTGCATTATAATTTATCCTTTTTAATTTTTCTAATATTCATTCCATTTTTTTAATGTTAATACTTATATGATAATTCATACGAAATGGTAGCAAAAACTCAAAAGCTTAAAGTGGATTTAGTCTGCTTAAACAAATTCGATAACAACAATAAAATCAAATTAGAAAGAATTTTAGATAAAATGTTTACTTTGAATTGCATGACCAAATCATAGTTCAACTTAATTAAATCTTAAGATGATTTTGTTTCTAGAAATTTGTGTTCTATGCACAGTGGGGAAAAGATCCTCCCATGTGAAATTGTAATATGATAATGCTAATTTCAAATATTGTGTTTATCTCTTCTTCTTCTTTTTTGGACATTAAATAGGCTTTCCCTGTTTACACCATCCCCTTATTAATTATAAATGATAAGGTTATATTTGGTAAACATTTGGATAAATTGTGACTATAAATTCATTATATATATATATATATATATATATATATATATATATATTAGACTTCTATATTGGCATAAGGCACATATAAGGGAATTAATTAATTTTCTTAGTCAAATTAGCATGAATAATAGATTAATAGAATTAATGCATTTCTGAAAAGTGAAAAAAAATATAAATAATTTCTCCCAAAAAACCAAATTAGAAGGATTTTTTTGGCACATCAATTAATTGTTTCGATAAAGATGTAGACAAAAGAATGTCATGTTGAAATTGTTGACTATCCCATTTGATGCTTGCTAGATACAAAAAGCCTACAGTGATAATCAACTAACAACATATTAGTTTACTGTGAATTTGCAAACCACCTGAAATTAGAACAACATGAGACTTGCTTACTGTTCTTGGCCGTAATGTAATTTAATGTTTCTAAGGAACAAAATTGCTACAAATTAGTGCAATGTATTAAGGAATATCTTTAAAATAAAGTAAGAATGGTTAAATTAATTTGAAGTTTTTAAATTATTTAAGAATTTATAAATAAGTCCCTATATTTTGAAGGGTTGTAACTAGGTTTTTAAACTTTTTAATTGGGGCCCTCCATAATGTTTAGTACGTACTGGAATCTAATTAATTTTTTTTAAAAATAGTTCATCAGATGCTTTAAAAGTTTAATTGTTTAGTTTATTAACTAATTAAGACCCCCAAAAAAAAAAGTTACATGTATACATGCATTACAAGAAATGGAGCTACAAAATTAATTATAAAATGACATAAACCAAAGAAGTTGAAAATTCTCAAAATTAATGGGTGTACATGTCATAGTTTACAGGACAATATAGTAAGTATTAATTTACAGCATATTATAAGAATTTTCAATCATGTATCCTAAAGTTTGACATTTAAGGCCTTTTGAATTCTATGGTTTCCTTATATGTAAATTTGTTATTATGTCAAGGCCATGTAATGCATCCACCCCAGATATGTTTCCTTTGATGGAAGATGCAATATTCATTTCTCTCATAATAAATAGCTACTCTACAACAGCTAACACCACAAAAAGCTCTTAGCAAGTACATCTTCCTTGGGGAGTGTTTCTTTATAACAATGCCACAACAACTCTTTGCCAGAGATATTGAGAATAGAAAGCTCAAGCACAAGATCGAGGAGGCACATGCCGTGGATGCTGAAGGTTCAGACTTATTACTATCTCTTAGTCTTGGCAATGACAAAATGGTGGGTGAAACTTCATCCAATTTCACCTTCACATCCTTGAAAGGTGATGAGGATCCATCAGGTTTTGCTCAAAAACCTTTGGAAAACACTAATCTTCATGTGATCAAGCCTAAGCAACGCCAATTCTCCTGCAAGTTTTGCAACAAGAAATTCCCAAGCTCTCAAGCTTTGGGTGGACACCAAAACGCTCATAGGCGTGAAAGAGTGCTCTCAAGGATAGACAAAGAATTTGAGATGGGAACATTTGGTATTGGTGCTCACTTTTGTCCATACTCAACCTTGGCACATCATCATCCTTTACATGGGTCGATACCCTTTTATAATGGGACTCATCTGCACCCTATGGCTCACATGCCATTTCCTCAATTTGCACCAGGCTATGGTAACCAAGGTTTGCCTAAGACTTCTATCCCAGGGCATCGATTTGGGATGACCAACCCTTTGGGTGTAGCTACTGAACCTCCACATGTTGAAACTGCACAAAATCTGTACCACAGGAATGTGGGGTTTGGTTCTGAACTTAACCAAGTTCCTTCCCTTGATGCATCTAGAAGAGCTACCATGGCCCATTCTGATCTTAGTAGTCTTCTAAGAAATCATTGTACTGGGAACCAACAATTTTAATCCTCGGGCCGAATTTTCCCTTTAATCTTTAATAATGATTTGAAAATAGTGATTTGCAATTGCAGTTGTGGTAGCAATATTGTGATTTTTCAGGTCTGCGTCACAATGATGACATTCAATTTCAATAATACCTAGGCAAGCATATTTGCTACAAATGCTATTTAAAATTCATTATATAGAGAGCCCTTGTTTCTAATTGTCAATTGATGCTGGTGTTGCTCTACTATTTTTATCCCTAAATTTTATTTATTTATTTTATCTTCTTTATTAGTTTATAGTTACTGCTAAAAAGTATTTTTTAAATCATATAAAAAAATATTTTAAATCGATTCTATAATCGGTATAAAAACAGGTAATATAATTTCTATAAATTATTTACATCGACTGTACAGCTCGTGTAAAATAACTTATAACTGATTTAAAAACTCAAACTTTTAAATTTTATCTTTTAAATAAATATTATATTACATCAATGATATAAAAACTATTAATTTACATCTTATATACCTTACTATAATTAAAATTATAAACTCCAACTTTTATAACTAAATAACAACCGTGTAAATAATGCGAAAGATCGATTGGGGAAAAAAAAGTCATTTTTTGTTACCGTTCTTTCTTCAAGGTTCGGACTGTTCCATGATTACAAAGTTGATGGAAGCCGAACCAATTGCTCTGGATGGTAAAGCAAACTGTAAATGCTTTTGCCTTCATCGTTCCATTTTTTAAAAGACATGAAAGTATATGTGTACAATAATAAAGACTAAATTCTTATTTTAGTCTCAAAAGAATAAATATTTAAAAATTAGTCTTTAAAATATTAAAAGTGTCACAATAGTCTCTAATTTTTATATTTGTCAAATATTTTAATCCCTAAACATGTGTAAAATATGAATTGTCAAGTGCGATGCTATTTTATATGTTTAAATGAGTAAACATGGTCATACAATAGTTATTACAACTTTCTCATTTTCTCTCACAAAAGAACCTGACATAATTTTTTTCTTAAATTCTAGGACTGATTCGCAAATTGTAGTTGGCATTAGAAAATCTAAAATTAAAATTTGTTGTTCTTCTAAAAGGGTTATGATGATTTACTAAAGTAGCAAGAGGGTCAATAATAAACAAATTTCTCAAGGCAAATGCATTTGGGTGCTGGCTGCACTAGGAACTCTCTTATGAGTGGAGTATAATAACACCATTCAAGTTCCCAAACAAAGAAGTTTTTTACCTAAGCTCGCTTTCCAACTTGGTCCTACTCTCATGTCTAATAATATTAGTCTCGGAGCAATCAAGTAATGCATAAAATAACAAGGTCTCTACTATAATTCTGTCATCATTCAAAATGCTGGAAACCCATTAGCTGTAGAAGGAAGCTAACTAGAGGTGTAAAGGTAATGGAAAGGGAAGGAAAACATTGCATAATTAAGACTCGACTTTTTCTGCATGTGTATTTGTTAAGTCACCATTCACATGCCATCTAACTTGATGTGTCAGTATTTTTTTTTTTTTGTCTATTAACAGTATCTAGATCTGGGAACTAAAATGTTTGACGGATACAAAAGTCAAAAATTAACATAACATTTCTTACATTTTAAAGACTAAAATGTCTAGTGCTTACTAAAAGATCACTACGTTATTTAAAGAGCAGTCACATGCTAACAACTTTCTAAAGTCACTTTTTAGAAAGTAATTATATGTCAATCACTTTCATAAATTAAAATTTTAAAAAATTATATTGACAAAGTTGGCTCTTTCATAACTGTAGGTACTTTCTTCATTATTTCTCTTCATACTTCCTTCCTCTTTTTTTTTTCTCTATTAACAATGAAACTTTCTATTATTTTAATTTTCTTTCATATTTACTATTATTTTATTTATTTAAATGTAAACTATTTGGTTAATATAAAATAAAAACTTGAGTTTCCATAAGACAAAAAATTGATTTTTTAATTTGTGATAAAAAAAAACTCATAAATGAAGAAATTTTGAATTTAAGATAAATAAATTCAAGTTTAAACATAACAATAAATTAATTTAAGTTTGTAAAAAAAAAATTTAAAGAAAAAAATTTCAAATTTCTGATTTATAGTTTATACGTTAGAAAGTGAATCGCTGTCCAAGTATATCAATGTTGGATAACAATATTTATTTGAATGTTTGGTAGTGCTCTTTAAAATAATGAGAAACCGTTTTATAAAAAAAAAATTCATTGTAATAAGCTAAAATGAGGGTCTAATCAACAATAAAAGTATGTAAATACCTTGTATTGTATTAGTCACATTGGTTGAATATCTAAATGCTTAATATTTAATTATTTTGGTTGAGTAGAAATAAATTAAATACATTAATTTGTTATATGTTAGTTCCTGCGCTATTATAGATGAGTTCGATCTAATATCATCCAACAAGGGAGACAAGAACATGATAAACAAATAAGTTGACTTATTTTAAGATACAAACCTGTGAGTTTATTTTGAAATAAGGAATTTATGTACTATAACAATTTATTTTTGTGTAAAAAAAACTGATCTGCTATTTTTATCACTAAATTATGTCTTTTTATTTGTTGTTTACCTTCTCATAAATTATGATGGTGGGTTTTTTATTAACGATGAAATGATAAAACAATATTTATTTTTATCATTTTCATAAAAAAACTGTCTACCTCTAAATAGTTATCGTGGATTTTATAGAAAATTGAGTTGAAGACTCGATGTTTCAATGCAATGACAATGGTTTGAAATTTGAATTCAACTCATTATTGGTATAAAATGTTAAATCTGATTGATAAAAGTGCTTTTGGATAAAAATCTACTTAACTATTTATGTAATAAAAAAATCAAGTTATAAGGAATTATTTTGATATATTTAACTATAATATATATATATATATATATATATATATATAAAAGTAAAATCTTTTTATACTAGTTAAAGTTTAAAAATTCATATACTCGATCTAAGCCTTTTATTTATTTACATGTAACTGGTTATAATTTATTAGATATAAGTTAAATAAAAGACTTAAATTAAGTGTAAGTGTTTTTAGACTCACACACATAATATAATGAGAATATAAAATTTAAAACTAAAAATAATTTCTCTTAGTCCCGTTTGATATGGTTATTAGTTTAGGTTTTAAAATTTTTAAAAACTAAAACATATATTTAATTGTTTGATATGGTTATTAGTTTAGGGTTATTAGTTTAGGTTTTAAAATTTTTAAAAACTAAAACATATATTTAATTGTTTGATATGGTTATTAGTTTAGTTTTTAAAATTTTTAAAGACTAAAACATATATTTAATTTTTACAGAGAAAGTGAGAGGTAATTGTGATAGCAATATACAGTAGACTTGTGATGAAAATAGTGGAGATTTGAGAGTGGAAATAATAATAATGTGACGATGATGGAAAAAGCTAAGATAATAGTTGTAGTAGTCATTATAATAATATAATTGTTAATTTTTAAAAAAACTTATGCAATAGTAACAATGATGATAGTAGTGGAGGTGACAATAATAACAGTGATCAGTGATAATAATTTCGCTTATGTGTCTTTTAAAACAATAATAGTTGTATAATTTATTTTTATAACTAAAATGGGAAAATAACAACTTTTTTTTTCCTCTTTTGTTTCTACAAATTTAAGTGAAACTATTTTAAAATTTGATTAAACACCAGTTTAATTTTATTTTGGTCGAATATAAAAAAAAAAAAGTAAAAACTAAAAATTTACTACTACTCCAAGTTAAGGTTAATGTCTTCGTTGGTATAATTTTTATCTAACAGAAACTGATTTATTAGTATAAAGTTTTAGGTCTTAGCTAAAAATATGATGCATAGATGTTATACTTTAACTTTTGATACCAAATCAAATTAGTTTTAGTAAATATATACCATTGATGTATCATTCCATCGGCATGGAATCACAGTATTTACATTTAAAAGTTAATTGCTTGCAATGGGACAAGCCTACTACAGAGTTAAAAATTCTCATGTAGTATGGACTTTGGATCGTGAGATTCGAAATAGAGAAGGAAAATTTTCAATAATTAGTTATCTAAAAACTTGTTCTTTTTTTAGTGAAAAAATTGTTTTATTTTTTAAGCCTCTATACAATTGTATTACGACCAAATACTATCCTAATATAATAAGGAATCCCTTTAATGAAAAAAATAATTTCTTTTAATAAGTTAATATGGTATTGTAAATATTTACCATCTTTTTTTAATAATTATTTTAATTATATTTATGAATTTTTAAATATATCATCATAATATTATTTAACCTCATTATTTCTTATTAGTGACAGTTATACTATTACGTGCATTAAAGTTTGTATCAATTATTATTTTTCAAAATTTCATAGAACATATATGATTAGTTAAGAGATTTTTGCTTAAACACAATATCGTCAGGTAAAAAGAAAAAGAAAAAAATGTTGGGTGGGAAAATATAAATTACGAGATTGACATCTATCACATATAAGAAAGTAAAGTGTACAAAGAAGAGTCCAAAGTTTCAATCTGAATTTTGAAGACTTTTTATTCATTTTGGAAGATTTTTTATTTATTTTGGTACTTTGTGTAAAAAAACATGTTATTATGCTTTATTGTTTATTATAGGATTTGAATCCTTGCACCTTACGATGTAATATGCTCGCTTAACCACTTGAACATATACATCATGTTTGTACTAAAGGGATTAGTTTTTGTTTTTATATGTCGAGTCCATGTGAACAAACTCCAAAACTGAATTGTACTAAAACACTTGAAAATCATTTTGAGGATATACATGATTGAAATCAGATTATAGTGAGAATTATTCTCTGCTAGGGTTCTTCCTTGCAACCTCCAATCTTATCAAGAATTCATCCGTTCTTGTGGCGATCTTGTTGGCTTATCAAACATCCTTGTTTGTGGCGCCTTCCCTATCATATTTCCTTCCTTTTATTCTCTTTACAAGGTATGAATTTCAAATTTTTTTTTTCCAATTCTGAATTTTAAGGTTCATAGCATTCTCTTCCAAACAAACCCCAAATTAAGCTTGTATCCATATCTTGCGTTATACAAATTCAAATTAAGTGATTCTTGAGTCAAAATTAAGGTTCACAACGTGAATATTTCTCTCGTTTTTGAATCACCCATTTTCGAGTTTTGTAGCTCGAGATACGTCCTAGTCCTAGTAGGTCCGAAATTCAAGAGGCTTAGGGAAATCCTCATCAAAATTTAATACTATCTTTATATTTATTATTTCTTAATTAACAATGGAAAATATTTTTTTTCCTCAAATTTAACTGTTTTATTCTCTTTCTTCATTGACTGAGTAAAAAGTATGATGTTGAACTAACTAACTTCTTTATGGAAGTGTAGAGTGAGAAGGTAAGTTTTACCCTTTTTTTTTTTTTTTAAAAAGCACCACAAACTAGGTTTCCTCTTTAAAGAATCGAAGTTATTTTGATATTTAAAACATTTACATTTTTACAATTTAATGATAAATAAAAAATTTAATGAATAAATATAATACCTGTATTTTATTGTAACAGAGTGAGATCATAAATTTAATACTATGTCAACTCAATTTTATCAATGTTTGTTTGATTTTAAAAGTTCCATTTAAATACATAATAGTATTTAACACTATTGATTCGTACATTATAAAACTATAATATAAAAATTAAAACATGTAAAGTAGTAAACATGATTCTGAAAAAATAATTAATGCCAATTTATGAAAATATAAACATAAATTAGGCATCGGTTGAAAATGTTGTATCATTATATCGTATATGGTTTTATTAAAAACAATATGGTATAAATATTGTATCAATTTTCTAATTAATAAATATTTAATTATTTTATATTAAAACTTTATATGCTTTTTTATGTATTGAATGAAATCGTATTTACAAAACACTAATACATGATTATAAAATAAATTAAACAATCTAGAAAAAAAGTATCCAAAATAGTTAGCTTTTCTTAAATTTAGATTCGATACACTATTTCTTTTTATTAAAATAAACTCTTATTACTTTTATCAGCTGAGAGTAAATATATGATGTGATTATTTTGATTTTAAGTCAATGTCATAGGATAGGGTAATATTTAGAAAATGAAATTACAATGTTATTTAATTATAAATTCGAAGGGTTAATGAAGTGGTGAAAGGTCTCATTAAGTTCACATGTGTATGGTCAATTTATTTAGCATGATGTCTTGTGTTTGAATTGCGAGCAAAAATTAACCTTGAGCCTTTTGGGTTTGAAGAGACACCTTAACATCATAGTCGCAGACTTTGGACGGAAAACAAAATCTAATAATAAATTATTATATCACCAAAAATTATTAACTTTAATAATTATTAATTTAAAATTATATCTATTATATATTCTAATTGATAATGTAAATGTTTTAATAGGAACAGTATATTGATACATGCTTTGATCATGATAACATAAAATTTTACAAGAACAATTAATTTAACTTAAAAGCCTATGATCTTAATAAAGCAAAGAGATTCACTTACTCTGAGAGTAAGTCTCTTAGTTGTTCATTGAGAAATTATAGTGGCTGGTTCAATGTATGAAGCCCAGAGAATATATGTATTGAGTTTTGGAATCGTAATGGCCTAGAATAGCACCTTGTAGCTAGGAATCCAACAACCGAACTTGACTGTCCTAACTAGAGCTGAAGGTTATTATGGGCAGTGGAGCTTGTTGGATGCTGATATTAACAAGTGTTTGTTGTTGGATTATTTAGTCTATTGACTGCTTCCCCATGATTTGGATGGGCCCACATGCATGGAATGAAGACAAGAAAATGAAATAAATTGTTAAATCATATCATGCATAGCACATATGTTGTTTGTGTATCTTAATTTGCCTTATGGTAATGAATGATGCTATTAATCTTAATTCGTGTATCGTATTTCTTCTTCCGTCTCAGTAAATGATTCTTATCTCTCACTCCGCTTCTTTGGTGCTGTCCTGTTAAATATTTTATATCACACGATACAACTTTCTATAGTATCTTTCATGTTCTTATCAAGTGTTGACATACCTGATACAGCAGATTATGATTCACATCCACATTTTGAATGTTGCGTTTTGTAAAGTTTGTTCTGAAGTAAAACCGTACTGTAGACAGAATCACAAGATGATTGGACATGATTTTAAGTCTTGTGCAAATTAAAACTACACACATAAATAATTATGGTCAAATAAAAGATAGTTCTACAATCAACAGAACCAATCATCATCCAAGGGGGAAGGTGACGGAAAAACATAATACCCATTTTTATTTATTCAATAAAGGAATATAAGTACATACCATTTGTGGCATATCTCAGGGCATTCAAAAGGAAGGTATGCTAATAAATTCTCTCTGCTGTAGATACCGGGCGTAAAAATACAACAATAACTGTGATGTTATCTTTGCTCCCACGTTCCACTGCTTCAGTAGCCAATCTCTTAGAGCACATTCCAGGCTCTTTAACCGTATCTTTTATTGTATTTATGACCTCCATACTGCTTATGACATCCCAGAGGCCATCACTGGCCATGACCTAAATCCACAAATTAAATCATAAAGATAAGTGTTTCAAAACAGTATCAGAAGCACCAGAGTGATAAGAAGATGATGCATATAATATAATATAATATAATATAATATAAATCTATCATTAAGGGAACTTCAATAAATTGGAAATAAATTATTCAGGTAAACGAAGCTAGTTTGGTCTAACAAAAATAATCATTACTTAACAATGCCCTACATGATTTCCCCGCTATTGTCATAGGAAATTTTGAAGCCTCTCAGTAAATATAATCAGTAAGATTACAAATCCAATGATAATCTGTTAATTATCTGCCAACTTATTCTTAAAGATACTTCAAACTGATAACTTATCTAAAGATCCAATGCATATCAAGAAATTCAAAAAAATAACAGGGTGTAAAGTGAAACTACTAACCAGAAATTCATCCTCTGCACATAAGGAACTCTCAGTTATCTCAGGTTCTGCAGTTACAGCAGGCTTTAGATCATCATCACCAATGGAACGAGTAACCTGTGTTAAGAAAAGAGTGGTTTTTATTAGCATCTACAAATGGTAAAAACTCAAATGGCCATTAATATCATTTTCTGCTCAAATCGTTTTGCTAACACAAGATCATTGGTGCCAGAAGTTAAAACAAAGGGAACAAGAAAGCAAAAAGGACAGACATTATTGAACCAATTGGGTTTTATATGTATCAAACAGGTAACGGTAGACTTGGCTCACTTCCAACAGTATCCCAGATTCAGATTGCATGACTCATCCAATAGATGAAAACCTAAAATTAATTATTCAACCCATTTTCAGAAGGCCTCCTACACTGTTCCCACTACCATCAGGTAACTAGTCAAATACGCACACAGCAAATAACCCTGTCCTCCACTATATATACTAGTTACTTTCTGAAATGGAAAATCAGAAATATATATAATGTACAAGATTGTGGATTAGCATGACTTGGAATTCATGTGAGCATCATGCCAGCTGAGTACAGGTGTCATATGGATTGACTGGATAAGTTTTGAATTGAATCATAATGGATGGGTCAAGAATAAACCATTAATCGATTTATAATCCAAAAGAACAAATAAGTCTTATTTCCACTAAGTGAGATCAGCTATATGAATCACGCAACACCATTGAACTTAGTTAAAAACCAAATTTTCTATGAAATATTACCATAAAATCATTTATAGTTCTAATGGATCTCTTTTTACTCCTTTTCACTGAATTAAAAAGCGTATCATTCACTCTTCTCACTGGTGCCACTAGTGTCCTTTTTTACACATGTTCAAACCACTTTAATCGATTTTTTATCATCTTTCCACCAGCTGGTGTAGCTCCAATATTCTTTCATATACAGGCATTTTTTAACCTGTTCTTCCTTGATTGACCACTCATTCATCTTAGCACTCTCATTTCTATAATTTCTACTTTTTTTCTCGTGTTGTCCTTTTAAAGCTCAACATTCATTATTATTTAGAAAAATTGGTCCTATGGTAGTAAGAAAAAACTTTTCTTTTAGCTTAATAGGTGCTTTATAATCACAAATAACTTTTGATGTCTTTCTCCACTTTAACCATCTAGTTTATATTCTATAAATAATATCTTCATTAATTTTTATATCATTTTTTATGAAGCATGACTTGAACAAACCTAGCAATCAATTTGAACAAACCTGAAGCGCAGGAAGACCAACTCTCCAAGTATCAACTTGCCAATGCACATGGCCACCCTGACGAATAACACGCTCTCTCTCTTGAAGACAGCTTGCAACATGATCCTAATATTGTTAAGATTTGATTAGTCTAAATGGAAAAGCAAAAAGAAATAAAAAAAAGCTTTTATGGTATTAAGAGTGTATTTGGATAAGTAGCATAATTAAGAGCTTATCAATCACATGAGAACTTAAACTATAAATTTGACAAAACTTATTTTTGAGCTTATTTTGATAAGCTTTCCCAAGATATTTATTGAAGTTAAAAAATGCTTATAAGAGTCATTCACTATTTATATAAGTTAAAATAAACTTTTCATGAGCTCTTCCTTATAAATAATGCCTAACAACAGTAATTTTCAGCTCACCTTACTTAGAGCAATTGGATTACCAGCACGACATAAGATTGCCCTGCAATCACCAATGTTAGCAACAAATAGCTTGTTCCTTACTATAAGAGCAGCAATTGCTGTACATCCAGGATGCCAATTCTTCTGGATACATCTGTTGGCATTGCGATAGGAATCAAGCTCTTTTCTGAAGGCAGCATCTGTCCTAATGAATGCTTCCACTAGTGCATTAGCAGGACTGCATTAACACATTAAAGAATTAAACTTTCAAGATCAGAGGACAGATGGGGAAAAAGAATGGGAAGGAAAAGGGTCATCTAGAGTGAAATATACCTGCCCATAAAACCTGAAGTCTGTAAAACAGCTGGTACAGCTCTAGAAGAAAACTCAGCAGCTGCTGCACCTGCAAGAGTATTAATCATGCTTAGATTACCACAAACGGTCATCAAGATCATCTTCATGCATAACAATCAATGATATTTATCAAAGTAGTAACCTTACCAAGAACATTCATCCGGATCCATTACCAAAGTTAGAATGAGTTTACTAGTGTATTAGTTGTTGTGTGCAACAGAGTAGCAGTTCTCATTGCCTAGCTGGCAGTTGTTAATACAGTCAGCAAATAGTTATTTGTTCTAATAACTAATGATAGGTTAGATATAATTAATGTAGAGTAATTGTAACAGGGTTGTGATAACCCTTTCTCGTTCAGTACCTTCAGTAGACTCTGGGAGTGTTTGATTGAAATTATTTTGAACAAATAATATTGGTTATTTTAGCCAATTTCATGAGAGATTTTAAAAAATAAGTAATTATTTCTCATTCTTAGAAAACACATTTATCATGTGTTTATATTTCTCTAACTATAATTATAATATTTGTTACTGTAATTAAGGGATTTGATTAATTCTCTGTACTCATTTTTGTGACTATAAATCCACAAACATGTAGTCATCTTTGACATGTAACATTCATTCACTTTCTTTTTATGTAGTCTCAATAGTTTAGGCTTTTTTTTTTCCAAAGTAGGAGTGGAGGAGTGGTCAAAGGCATGAGAAGTGAAGAGACACAATAGTTGTACAATAATCATGCCATAGGAGACAACAACGGTTCGTGATAAGATTTGATTATAGACCAAATCAGGTTGTGGGCAGGATACTGGCAAGATCAAGTACCATGAAAAACTTGCTATGGTGCTTGGCATGAGTCACTGCATCACTAGCAAATGCATGAGGCTATCAAAATAAGAAATTAAATGATCAAGCTTACCAAAATAAGTCTGCAAATCCATGTTACAGATATTAGGCTAGAAACCACTGTAGAGGTGATGAACATCATTGGAATAGACCTTCTTGGCTTTCATCAAGACACCGTAGCAGGTCTTAAAGGCTGATATTACAGCTGGAGTTTTGGGAGCAATGGATATATGCATATTTTTTGTATAGATTATGGAGAAACTTTTTCCCCTGTAGCCAAAATCACTTATGTTTGTCTCTTACTCGCCTTGGCTGCTCTTCATTGTTGGCCTCTTCACTAGCTAGATATTAAAAATGTCTTCTTGCATGGTGAATTACAGGAAGAAGTTTATATAGATCAGCCTCTTTGATTTATTGTTTCTGGTGACTATTGCCTTATTTATCACCGTTATCATTCTCAATATGGTTTGAAGCAGTCATCCCATGCCTGGTTTGAACATTTTAGCTCTACCTTAATACAGTTTGACATGATCAGATGTGAGGCTAATTGCTCTCTTGTCTTAGTTCAATGACATCATCATCAATGATAATGAAACAAAAGGAATCTAATGGCTTAAAGCCCATCTCTTCCAGTCAGTTTTAGATGAAAGACGTGGTCCCCTTAAATATTTTTTGGATATTAAAGTTGTCCAATCCTCCTCTAGAATTGTCATTTCTTAACATAAGTATGCTTTGAACAATACATATGCAATTTGGACCTATTTTTTGGCTCGTGGGAAAATTCTCAACAAGTCTCTTCAAGGGCCGCATATCACAGCTCATTTTCAGATTGCTGATATTTTGACTTAAACTCTATCTACTATTCAGTTTCCTAGATTTGAAGAGAAAACCCGGCCTGTGACAAAGCAACCTTGATCGAAACCCCTTTTGCTTGAGGGGGGAATATTAGGGTATATAGTAGCCCTGTCTAACTAAGAGTAGCTGTTCTCATTGCCTTGCTGGCAGCTGTTAGTACAGTTGACAGAGTTATCGGTTAGAAATAGAATTATTCTGTTAACTATTTAATAAGTTAGTTATAACAAATAGAGTTAAGATATTGTAAAAGGATTGTGATAACCCTGTCTCTCTAAAAGAACCTATAGTATACACTCAGTTTCCATAAGTTTCAGAATTCAGTTTTTTTTCATATTCTCCGTTTCTCCTAATTTTTCATATCCTGTTTAGAAAAATGTTCAAAGATATCATATTAGTATATTACATTCTCAATCCTTCTCCCACTAGGTGGGATACAAACATAAAACTACTTGAAAAAATGCTTGAAAGAGTAAAGAGTATTCTGGAATTGGGAACAAGTAGAGGCAAGAAAAAGGGTTATCAATAATGCAATACAAGAAAAGCAGGAACCTCAATTTCCATACTTAAGTTGCTTCCTCTATTAGAAAAACTAACTAATGTTCAGAAGTATAATACAGGAGCATGTAACTAAAAATTCAAAAAGAGATTTATGTACCCACTAGTATGCTAGTAATATAATCTATTTTATCTTAAAATGTAATATAAAATAGAATGATGAAGAAATTAATAATGTTACTTAAAGAACACAAGTTGAGTGGTTAAAGTGGAGAAAAACATCAGAGTTATTTGTGACCGTAAATTACCTATTAAGCTGAAAGGAAAGTTTTATTATACTGCAATAAGGCCAACTATCCTATATGATAGTGAATGTTGAGCCTAAAAGGAACAACACAAAAAAAAAGTGAGAATAATAGAAATGAGAATGTTAAAGTGGATGTGTGATTGCATAAGAAATGACAGGATAAGAAATGATAGTATACAAAAAAATATTGAAGTAACACCTATAGTAAAAACAAATGACTAAAAATCGTCTATGGTGGTTTGATCACGTGCATATAAGACTTTTGGAGACACCAATGAAGAAAGTGAATTGCATAACTTTTAGTCCAGTAAAAAAGGGTCAAGGGAGACCCAAAAGAACCTTAGACTAAGTTACTAAAAGAGACATTTTGATTAACCAGATTTCTGAAAATTTGGTTATTGATGTAATCCATACTAGCCGAACTCACCTAGTGGGATAAGGCTTGGTTGTTGTTGTTATCTTAAAACAGAATCAAACAAAATGTGGATATTTGTTAAATAACGAGTACATACCCCTATGGCCATCAAATATCCCAAAAGCATACACATCCTTTTCATCGCAAATATGGGGCAGAATGAAATGTGTATCCTCCATAGTCTCCCTTCTCCCACAGGTAGCATAAGATCCCCAAGAAAGTATTGGACGGTATGCCAATTGCTCATCATAAGACTCATGCCAAGTTTTCAAACCAGTATCAGTTGCACTAGAGGCACTCCTGGCCAAAAGTTCTCCTTGAGTGGACCAGCTAAAACTCTCTTGATAAGCCTGGAGGTGATCGGTCATGTCCACAGGTTCAGCAACAACATGCAAATTAGAAGATCTGATACACATATCTTCTGCCTTTTTTAACGTCATGTGCTCCATAATAAATTCTAGTTCCTTGACAATGTCATCAAAGGAAGGTCTATTTTTAGGATTTGCATCCCAACATTTCTGTATCACTGACAATAATCTGGATGGTATACCAAACTCCTCAGTAGCAAGGACTGGCCGTAATCCATCAGAAACAATAGCTGCTGTGAGTTGCTGTTCAGTATAGTTCATCTCAAGCACTGTGTGAGCCTGTCATCAGTAATCATAGATCAATATCACCACCCCCGAGATTTTAAAAAAGAAAATATAGTTAATATAGCAAACAAAAAATAAAAAGATTTCCCAAAGGTTCTCATATGCAAAACAAGCATACCTCCAAAATAAACAACTACAAATATTATCAGTCCCACCAAAAGTTTGTTATTTTGATGCAAAAATTACTCGCTTGACAACTATAGATATAAGTCTTATTTTATGTAACATAAATCTCAATTAGTTGAATATCTCAAACTAAATGTAATTGTACTAATGGTTTAGAAGTTTCTTAAGATAATTAGAATATATGACAAGATCTAAAATTGAACTTTCCCTCCTGTTAGAGAATAGTTATTAAGTTATATATGACCATATTAGGTTATTTAGTATTATTGGACTGGGTTTAACTTTCTTGCACTGATCTTTATTTTTAGTACAAAAATAGACACCAGGAGACTAACAACATAGAGATAGTCATTACCCATTCCTATTTTATAACATTTCTTTCAATATTATCTATTGTGGTAATTAGACCTCATTAGAGAATAACCTACCAAACCAAAGTTTTGTTTTTCTTCTTTATATTTCAAAAACAAAATCCTAGCCTCAGCATTTCACATACTGCCAATCAACCCTTTTCAAGAGTAAATACAATTTTTTCAATCACTTCTGAGGGCTTTTCAAGTGTTTCTAGGTGGTTTGGTCATGCCATGGGTTTCATGCCTAATGTTATGAGTAGTGATCTGCAGCCAGGGATGTCATAGGAACATTTACATTGATCAGAGTGTAGATGTATGCTCTAGATACCAAATGTATATTGACCTCATTGGTTACATTATATTACGTCTATTGAAGTCCCACAATGAATACAGATATGGCCAAATAAGAACTTATAAAGGTTAGATCAATCATCACCTTACGAGCCAGCTTTTGGGGTTGAGTTAGGTTAGGTTTAAGCCCATATTTAACAATGTCATCTATTTAATTTATGAGGGATTTCATTCTTCTTTTTGTTGTTTATTTTAATTAGATAAAACAATAAAATTGCTTCTAATGGTAGGTTCAATGTCCTAAGATAACAAAGTTTATGAATTGAGCACGCGCTCTAACTAGTTAAAATCATAACACTTCTCTTAAATGTCCCTAGTTAACTAGCTTGGAATTTTTTGCCACTTTTGGGTGATTTCAATACAATTTGGTTCATTTTGGTTAATTCCAATTTCAATCAATCATCCTTCTCCCAATGCTTGGAGAATGATTGCATATTTCTAGTAGTATATGTGACATCATTATTACTAAAAGGAAGGAGTTTGGGATTAGAACCTCAACGATTTTCTTCAACACAATTTTAGATCATGGATTTGGATGCATCAAAGTATCTTTTGGGTCTTGAGGTGATGAGTAGTAAGAAGAATATTTTTTCTAACCAAGAGAAAATTTAGCCTTGACTTGTACCCCTACAGTCCTTAACAACAAACTTTTGGATGTCAACAAAGTTATATCAGATCCTTGACAACACAAAATGGGGAGGTAAGCTTAATTACCTCATAGTCACTCACAGTTTCAGATCAAGGATTAGGTTGCATTGTAGTACCTAGAGAGAGAATATGCTTTATTTGCTCAAAGCTAAACCATTTAAAACCTTTATGCTCCCTAATGTCAAATTGGTAAATGATGTTATTCCAAATCCTAAACAACACAAAATTGGTAGGAAAGCATAATTACCATCCAGTCACTCACCCTAATATTGTCTTCCTTGTGAGTGTTATTAGTCAATTTAGTTATCTCCACATTGATGAGAACCTTGGGCTATGAAGCCCAGATACATTAAAACAGCTAAAATACCTGTGTCAAACACGAATCCGTTATCGGATACTTGTCCGATATGTATCATAAAAGTATCCATAATTTAATTTATTTTTAAAAATTAATTTCCAACCCGATACGGCTTAGATACAGCGGGGATACAACTCCTAATCTTCCGATACAGCTCAGCGTAAAGGCTTGAGTCAAATTATTATTGAAATGGGGAGTTTCAATCTTTCTCCCACCCAAAATCAAAAACCAGCTAGGGCTTCTTTAAGCTGCGATTCTCTTGGGGAAATAATACATCAGGAGGAGAACTATTGAGAAAGCAAGGTGATTCGAAGAGGTTGTTTTGAGGCGTCAATTTTGGTCGAGCAAGTTCCTGAGGCACAATTCTCCAATTTCAACGTGATAGTGGGTGATGGGATTTCTGTTTTGACGGCGATAATGGGTGTGTTCAACGGCGGTCGGCAACCTCAAGCACCGTCTTCGCCACCACTAGGGCTTCATTGCAACAAAAAGTTCTGAACTTTGATCCTCTTCTCTGACTTCAGCAACAGTTTTGAAATTTGTTACTCTATTGCAGTTGCGGTAAAAACTCACAAACTTCCTCTTTTAAGTTCATTTTACATCAACAAAGTAAAAATGTTATTCTTGCATTTTTCAAGAGTTGTTTGTTGACAAAAAATGAGTTCTGGTGTTGAGTCTAATTTTAGAATTCCAAGTAACTTTGGTTCAATAGAGCTTCAAAATGATCATCTTCACTTTGGACATTTGTCACTATAAAGAAGAAAAACATACTAAAGGAGAGATAAGGATGTGTGATATTAGTGGAGATGTACATGTTTCACTTGATAATGGTGTTGGATTTCTTAAATTGGCTGAATTATCTCTTAATGAACCAAACTTAGAAGTTATGCTTTTTGTAGACGATGAGGTTAGAGGAAATGAGTTTGACAATGTTAGAATTAAATAGTACAAAGGCAGGACTTCCTTTTTGTGATAATTCTATATTTGTTTTGGATAGAACTACCAATTCTTTTTTTAAATTCTAACTTGAATAAGGGAGTAAAATACGTAATTTATTCATGTGTTCATAGTAAAAGAAATATTTTGACTTAGTTTTTTAGACATAGGAAAAATATGATCATTGATATGCAAATGTAACACATTAATATAAATTAATTATCAATATCTTTTTATAGAAGGTATATGTATAAAATGTTATTTTTTTAAATTCATGTTAACATATCTTCTCCCGTATTCCCATATCAGTGTCGTACTAAGTATCTAGGCTTTATAGATCGTGGGAGAACCACACCACAAAAAACTAATCATTGAAGGCCTTATAAACCCCGCATTAAAATCTCATACTTCCTCCAATGCAAGACTCAAGTCTCATACCTTGCAATTGGATCCTAACATCCCACCATGCTCAATAGCCCCAACACCCATGCTAGCTAGTTGTGCACTAGCCCCTTGACTAGTCTTAAACAAACACTACAATGCCAACGTCACCACCCACGCTGTTCATTTGCAGCTGAGAAACATGGTGGAAGACTTTAATATCAATTGATAAGAACGTTGTGAGAATCACACTATAAAGGCTAACCGTTGTAGTTGAAGAGCCCAAAACTTCTAAACCCTACATTTGAATCTCATACTTCCAATGTGAGACTCATCCAACACATTGCAATTGGATCCTAGCACACATATTACAAATTGGGAGGTTGTTCTATATGTATTAAGATATTTGATAGAGCCTACAAACTCTACAGTGGATGGTTTCTCCAATGCTAGATGGGCTGGATCTCTTATTGATAGAAGATTTACTTCGAGTTACTATATTTTTGCTAGAGGCAACCTTGTCTTCTAGAGAAGTATGAAACAAAGTGTTGTTGCTTGGTTGGTTAAATGCCAAATCAGAATATTGTACCATGGTCCAAGCTACAAGTGAAATGGTGTGGATACATAAATCTTCTCAATGAGACTGGTTTTAGAATTGTGGTGTGACAGTCAGGTTGCCATTCATATTGCTTCTAATCCTACTATTGCAAGAAAGAACAAAGCATATATAGGCCAATTTTAACTTTGTGGATTAAAAACAGGGGCTTGGTACCATTGGACATGTACAGACTAGAGAACAACTAGCTGATGTCTTCACAAAAGCACATCAAGAACAGAATTGATTATATTTAACATCTATGTTTTAGTTTGAGAGGGCACGTTAAAAAGACAATAGTCATTAAGCTATATATGAACTTACTAGGATATTTGGTATTATTGGGCTGGGCCAGTTTTTCTTATACTAATATTTATTTTTGGTATAAATATAGAATCAAAGAGACTAACAATATTGTCATTAAATTTATTCATTCCTATTTTCTAAAAGTTTTGTTATTGTTCTCTAACATCTATCATGGTAGGTGCTAGAGAAATTTTTTTTATTCTTAAGTTTGACCCAAGAATCATTCTTCACCCCAAGCACAAAAAGTAAAAACAAAAAAAATATATCCCATTTGATTCTTGCTAATAAAACATTTCCCATTGATGAGCTAAAGTTCCCTCGAGGATGGTCAGTGGTCACAACAGAGATTAACATTTTAAACAGTAAAGGAAGTGTTTTTCAGTCTTAAAAATAAAAATTCATGTTTATCAACAAATATAATGTCCATATTGTAAATGAGAAAAAGTAAAGGGAACATAGGCAAGAGATGGACAAATCAAATTGCATCAGGCATTTTGGACAAAGTTGCAATCTCAAGCCCAATTTCTCACCTAGAAGACCAACTACTCTCCTAATGTAGGACTTGGATGTCCGCTCGTAACAGTCAATAGTCCATACTTTATCTCATTTATAGGAGACATACTCTACAGACAAGCTATATATTCAAACTACCTATATTACACATAAGATAAGACAGGTTGACTGACCTGAACTTCTGCACGAAGATCAGTATATGGCACAACACCAGTAAGGATTTCACTGCAGCAGGTCCAAATAAAGGTTTTAAATCAACCAAGCAAAAAATAAATTAAAGATTATTATCTATCTATGCTTTGTTAAAGACCCAGGAGAATAAAAAAAAGCTGATAAAGAAGAAAAGAAAAAGAACAGTTCTGTAATGATTGATTGAATGACAGATACCAAAGAAGAGAATTTTCCCTCCAATAAACCTCCTTTCAAAAACAGCGACCGCTCAGTTTTGAAATGAGAAAATTTGAATGAAAGCCTCTTCTGTCCGTCTCCTACTATTTAAGTAGGTCCATGCTCCTGACAACTTCAACTGCCTAACCAACTAAGTAACTAACAACTTTAACAACCTAACTAGTTTTGTAACTATTCCAATTGCCTTGCCTCACTTTCCTTATCTTCTTTTTCTTCCTCCTAGTGTTCAACAAATTTTATTTACGCTTGTTGATTATAACAGCATTTCAACAGCTTATTTGATAAATAATGACCAGTTCATGTGGTTAAAGTGTTAGTCCAAACAAATACTTCAACCAGGCTGCATACTTTCTACCATAACTAAGGTTTACAAGAATTAATAATTTCCAGAAGTTGTCCATATGTTTCTGTTTTTGTGAATATACTCTCTATTCAAGTAAGGAAGAAACAAAAGAAGTGGATGATAGTCCATCCACAGATTTGCTAGGCTGTTCATGCATTAGAGAAGAGAGAGAGAAAACAATGACATGGATTGAGAACCAAGCTAATCAACTACAACAACAATTCAGCCTTATTCCACTACGTGAGGTTGCCTACAGATCACACAATGCCATTGAGCTCAATCAAAAACCAAGCTAATCAACTCAGAAACCAAAAATAGCATATGGCATATAATTAACTGCATCACATATACAATGACACTTCATTCCAGTTAACATTTCTCACATAACCGAAAAACAACATGAATGGAGAAAACAAACCTCTTGTTCTTACTTGATTGATACACCAAAGCTGTAGACATCTGACTTTTCTGTATGTAACTCTTTTCGTAATATTTCAGGTGCCATGTAAATGAGTGTTCCAACCATGTTCTTTTTGTGAAAACCACCGGTAGGCTTTCCAGAAGACTTCCAATTCTCTATAGATACTCCCTTAAGATCATTCTTGTGTTCTGCCAAACCAAAATCTGTGACATGTGGACAAAGATTTTTGTCAAGCTGCACCACAGATACATAAGATTAGTAAGGTGATGCATTCACGGAATACAATATATCAAATGTTAAAAACAATTTTAATCAACAAGAAAATCAAAAGATATTGGAGATATTTACAAGAATATTTGCTGGTTTCAAATCTCTATGCACAATCCCGAGATTATGCAGATATTGCAAAGCCTTTGCTGGAGAAAGGAAGTATAAGAAAAAGGAAAAAAAAAATTGTCAAACAACTTAGTTTCTTTTTCTTTTGGATAAAACTGTCAATCACTTTCTATTCTTAACTTCCAAATTTCCCCTGCACAATTAAAGTTGGTAAATATAATGGTTAAAAAAATTGAAGGAAAAGAATTCCTGGTTCATTTTGTGAATACTTTTAAATTCTTCCACTTCTTGGCTCCTTAATTTTAATTTAATAATTCCAACTTGAAGAGGAGGCCTTAATACCAAAATAACAATTCCAAACTGCTATAAATGTCAATAAATTATTTTACAAATGTAATCAATTAATCTATCCTGGTATTAATATTATTAGTAGCCATTTAGGAGAGTTGGAATACCAAAAGACACATATATACATACAGATAGTTAGCAAGAACATGTATACCTATACTGTCAATCACTTACAGCTAGGCCAAGCAACTATGACTTGAAATTTGGTACTAACTCTATACAAGGTGAAATCACAGATATACCTAACTGCATGGTTATCATAAGTGCATCATTGAGAGTCGGGGTCCATTCTTCCACGTGCAACTTCTGTGCGAGATTCAGAGACTCATACAACTTGAAGAAAAACATGTAATTGGGTGGTTTTGCATGGGCGGCAATAAGTGTTGCTATTCCAGGGTGATCTAGTTTGCTACATATTTAACAATAAAAATAATAATAACACAGTAAACCCTCAACACACAAAATTCCACATAATTTACTTTTCAGCATATCAAAAGACTAAGGAAAATAGTAAATTTCAACAGAAACAGAGAAAGGCTGATGTGTGCGTGTGCGTGTGTGTGAGAAAGAGAGAGTGAGACCAAAGTAATTGCAATTCTTTATGAAACTTATGAATGTCTTCTGAAGTTGACAAGACGGGTTTCTTCACAGCAACCCTCACGCCATCCAAAGTCCCTTCATAAACAACACTCTCAGCCCCTACGATTACCATAACCAACAAAGTTACAGTATTGAATAAATAAAATCTAAAAAGCAAAAAGAAAATCAAATAAAAATTCGAAGTGTAAAAATGAAGATTTACCTCGGGCAATAGGTGAGAGGAGAGTATAAGAGGAGGGAGGGAGATGGAGAGGAATAGAGGCGCTGTTGCAGCAACCCCTAATGCAACTGTTAGGCTCCAAAATTTCTAAGCCCATTGCTCTTGACTCTTGTGTTGTTGTTGTTGTTGTTGTTGAAGAAGAAGAAGAAAGAAGAAGAAAAGGTTTGAAGAGGAAGACACAGGAAGGCTACACTTGGAAGAGTAAGGAACGGTATATCATGTTTTAGCGATGGAAATTTCGTGATGCTGCCTCCTACTTCCTTCACGTTTGGCCGTTTCATGCGCACCTTCTACCCTCTATTTAACTTTTGCGTGAAATACTATTTTGTCCCTAAATCTAACACACATTTTCGATTCGATTCTTGTAAAAAGTATCTATTAAAATTTCTGAGTAAAAGAATTATTTGAAATAGTCCTCTTATTATCTTCTTTTATAATACTGATATTTATACATTTTTCATTTTAATTCTTATATAAAACATCTTCCGTTATAATTCTTATATATTTTTTTATTTAGTCTTAAAAAATTAAAGCATATAAATTATATATATATATATATATATATATATAAACACAATTAATAAATGTATCACATGTAAGAATTTAAATAAAAATGTGTTCTAATAATTTTTCATTAAATGTCATTTATAACAATTTTATTATTATCATTTTTAATATTGTATAACTATCAATTTTAATAAATTTTTCTTAAATACAATTTAAAGATAATAAGTATTAATTAATTTTAATTTCAATTTTTAAATTATATAAAATATTATAATTAATTTCATTAAATTTTAATTTAATGTAATTTATAATAAATTTTTTATATAAAATTTTTTATAATAATTTTAGACACTTTAAATTTTAATAATTATAAATTTTGTTATAAATACATAAAATAATATATAATTTTATTATATAAAATTAACATTATGAATTTTAATAATTATAATTCTTTTAATAAATATATAAACTAATAAACATGTGTAACATAGAAGTGATTTTAAACCTTTTAAATTTAAATAATTATAATTTTATTATTCTTGTTATAAATATATAGAATTATATATATATATATATATATATATATGTGTGTGTGTGTGTGTGTGTGTTATATAGAAATTAAAATAAATGTCCATTATTACAATAAACTGAAGAATGTGTTATGTTACATTTCTACGATTAAACAATATTTATCTCCATTTTTATATTTAATTTGGTGACAACTTTGATTTTTATTTTTATACTTATTCGGTAGCTAAATTTCTGTACATGTTTCATTACCCGTAGTTTAGTTAACTAAACTATGATTTTCACAGTTTTTACAAATTTACATAAAATATTAATTAAAAAACAAAAATATTCAAAAATACAATAACACTAAATACATAAATATAACATGAACTTCCAACATTAACTTATTAAAATTAAATATTATAAATTATAATATTATTTTTCCAATATAAAAATAAAGCATTAAAATAAAACATAAATATAATTACTTTTACTAAGTTATAAGTTTTCTTCTAAACACATCTTAAAGCATGTAAAAATAAATCTAAATAAGTAAATATTCTTAAAAATTAATTTTTAAAATTAATTTTTATAAAAAAAATTGTTAGATTTAAACTTAAACTTTTTTTTTAAAATAGTCATTACCATTAATTTACAATACTTTAAGTGATATTTGTCATGTGAAATATCAGCTTAGACGTGACAAGATTTAAATAAATAATTAGTCCCTAAAAATTATCATTTTTAGAATACATAATTCTTTTTCTAACAAATCATATTATTATCTCTTAAATCAATATTCTTAATTTAAGTAGCATTTTTTTCTCTTAAGAATACTCGCCAAGTTAGAGTTATTTAAAGTCAAAATATCATTTCTTAGAAAGAATTTTTAATATGGTTAAAAAAAATATTATATGAGGTAAGAAGACTTACTTCATTATGTTTCCTTGAACCCATATAAATTTTTCATCAATTAAGATAATATAGAGAATCTTCATGAGGTAGGAAAACTTACTCTTAGCATGTCCAATTTCATCTCGAACAATATATCCCATAGCAATATGTTAAGATGAGAAAAAATGAGAAAGCATGTGATGAATTTCGTGTGTTTTAACTATGTACATCAATGGTTGTATATTTATATTAACAAGGGTAATCAATCATAGTTATGTAATCAGGAACAAATATATGATTACCTAATTACTACAATTATACAGATATTATTTTCCTAAATAACATATTAACATATATTTAATACTCCTCTTTAAGTTGGAGCATATAAATCATATGCACCGAACTTGTCGCATATGTACTTAACACGAGAACCTCTCACACACTTCATGATTACATATGTCACTTGATCATTTGAATTGACAAAGCTTATGGCGATGACTCTAGATAAGATCTTTTCATGAAGGAAGTGATAATCAATCTTAATATGCTTCAATCATTTGTGAAAAACTAGATTTGAGGCAATGTGTAAGGCTATTAGGATATCACAAATGAGTGTTATTTGTGTATACTCTTCAAATATTAATTATTTAAGTAATTGTTTCAGCCATTAAGTTCACATGTGGTTGAAGTCATGACTCAATATTTTTCTTTTGTATTAGAAAGAGAAATCACATTTTGCTTATTGCTCTTCCAAGAAATTAGATTACTATCAATCAAAATAAAATAGCAAAAAATGAGCCTCCTGTAATGAGAGCCTGCGTAACCTACATAAGAATATCCAACAATCTTATCATGATCATTGTCCTCATATAAGAGACCTTTTTTTAGAACTCCTTTCATATACTTCAAGATGGAATCAATGCATCCCAATGTCCTTCACATGAAGTGTTGAGAAACTAACTTATCGTACTAACAATAAAAGAGATGTATGGTCAAGGAATTGTGAGATAATTTAGTTGTTCAACTAATATCCTATACTTCTCTAGGTCAATAAAAGGTTTCCCTTGATTTGGTAGAAGTTTAGAATTAGAATTCATAGGAGTGTCTCTATCAAACTTGTTTCTTTTAATATATCTAATGCATACTTCCTTTGAAAAATTACAATATCATGTTTGGATTGTGCTACCTTTATTCTCAAGAAATATTGAAGTCTACCAAGGTCTTTTGTCTAAAAATAGTGACATAAATATTTCAATTGTGTAATGCTATGATGGTCACTGCTAGTGATAAAAATATCATCCTATACAACAAGGTAAATGCATCCAATAGCTAAATAGTGATAAAGACTGAATGATCAACTTCACTTCAAATCATCCCAAATTGTTGAACAACGATGCTAAATCTATCAAACCAAGTTCTTGGATACTATTTAAGACCATACAAGGATTTTTAAAGACGATAAACTAATCCTAAGGATTTCCCTTGAACAACAAATACAGGAGGTTGACATGAGGAATCATTAATTTCAAGTTGATGAAGAGTCTAGTGCCAAATGGTAGCTATGGACAAGATCAAGCAAACAGAAATCATTTTAGCTATGAGAGAGAATGTGTCACTATAATCCAAGTCAAAAACTTGGGTAAAACCTTTGGCTACAAGATAAGCTTTAAGGCAATCCACTTGACCATTAAGACCAACTTTTACAGTATATAGCCTCCTGTAACCCACAACATATCTCCCTAAAGGAAGAAGAATAAGGTCATAAGTGCTACTACTGTGAAGCGCACACATTCCATTAAGCATTGCTTGATGACAAGCGAGATGTGACGGAGATTTTGTTGTATTCTTAGGAGTAGAAATCAAGGACAAAGAATAAAGGCACATATTGAGAGATGAGAGATATTTTAAAATTTAAATAAACTCTCACTAACTCAATTGTTTCTTATTAATTAATAACAATTACATTAAATAAATTTTTATAAGATTTAACCTATAAATTATGTGAGTCATTATATTATTTAATTAAATAATCTAATAATCTCCTATTTGGTCTGTGATAACTTCTAAATTCAACAATAAACCATAAATGTGCATCGTGCAATGAAATTATCAAGTCATCATCCTTAATTGAATTTGAAATCATTGCATCATAGTAGTTACAAGTTATTTAATAATATGATTTCTTCTCTGTGTCATATAATCAATTCAAATTCATAACTTTAACCAAAGTATAAGGTAATCTTTAACTTTAATGTCTCTTAAAGACACAACCTGTCATCATATACATGTACATAATATAATGTGGATAATAAGTAGAAAACAAACAAAAACATAACTTTGATTGAATTCATGGATATCACAATAATGTAAGAAAAATACTATGCATATATATATGGCCAAAAAATGTTTTGGACATTAATCCTTTAATTAACGAATCAACTATGATTAAGTCAATACCAATATGCTTAACAGACATTTCATGTTTATGCACTTCTTTTTTTACCTATAAGTACTTCAACTATTTGTTGGAATACATATTTAGTTTTTATAGTTAACACTTATTTAAAAATTAGTTATTACAATAAACATTTATGTTTTAGTCTTTATATGAATATTTTATTTTATTTTTTACATCTTGGCCCATCTTATCCAACATTCTTAACATACTTTTAATGGTAAGAACTAATTTAAAAGTGTTTACTCATGCAAGAACTAAATTGTAATATTTATTTTATGTAAGGATCAATCAAATTAAAAAAAAAAATGTATCAAGGATAGAAACTAAATTTATAATTTGACTTTTTTTATTAGTCAATTACAATCTTTAAGAAACACATCATTTGACCTATCTTTATGTTTAAGATATGCCTCAATACTAATAACTATGTCTTTTCTGATATTGAGATTGCATTTGTTTCATGACATATTATTTAACTTCTTCACACAAATATAAGTTATCCTAAAATCATATAAATTCATTAGAAAAAGAAAATTAAAATATTATAAATAAATATTTTGATAAGAAAAAGAGAGAATATAAAGACAAAAAAAAAATGTCAGTTCAAATATAAACAAAATCATGTACAAATAGTGATGACAACCACAAACTGTGCCGCTGAATTAAACGACCTTGAATTGGATTTCACACAATAAAAACGAAATTATTAGGGTACAAATAGGAATTGAAATAAGAAGAAAATTAATAAAAAGTGAAAATAGAATAGAAATGGAAAATGGCACCACAATCACAAGATTGATAAGCCAAGGAACGATTGCCACAAGAGTTTTGACCTCTTGATAAGATCAAAGAAAATTGGCTCACTCAAGAACCTAGAGTCACATGTTCTCACAAGAGTGTTCAATCTCAAATTGTAT